CTGACATTGCTGGCCTTTTATGAGCCTCTGATTTTATTTGGGTCAGGGGACCTATGGTGCAATCCTGGAAATGAAAACTGTGCCTTTGATATCTGCCTTCATTGGACCCTTTTAAATACTTTATCTATAGTTGCATGCCACAGGAATGCTAGAGACACAGTTATTTCATCATTATTTTGTTATAAGGAAATATATACTGGAGTTGACTCAGGCCTTGTTGGCTTTTTGTGACCTCAAGCAATCCATAAAATTAATATAATTGTGCCATTAAGTACTCTCAAATTTGCCTACACCATTATGTTCACTATGCCCAAAGACAAGTGACCCAATGGATAATATATAGTTTTATAGGAAAGGGGGCATAATTTCCAGCATTACCATGTCCTTCAAAATGAGACTACCCACCAAGGAAGTCAGGCCACATTTGAAGGAAGCAGACATTAGAACATTCCAAATTAATACACTAAGGCTGGGAGAATACTATCTAAGAACCATTCCTGAACAAAAAGTTGGGTGGGTTGAAGAAGACTGATAAGAGATTAAATTTGAACTTGCAAGGTGAGTGCAAAGTCAGGAAACAGAGTAACAAGGAGCAATAATAGGTCAGCACCACACTGATATTCACGTGGAAGGTGCTGCTTACCGGGAAGGAGATCATAACAAGCCAACCTCATTTAGAATGCCTTGCACAATTTGGAACACTCCACTTTGAACCTGTCAGGAGAGAGAAGGTAAAAGAGAGCTACAATAATACCTATCGAAGAAATGAGAAGAATGTGTAGACTACATCTGCAAAGAAAACATCCAAAGTAAGAGTCTTCTAGAGGTTAGTATTCTTGGTTACAAAGCTACTGGGTCTACCCACCAGAGACAAGATTTCTCCTCCAAGAGGAAAAAAAATAAAATAAAAATAAAAATAGCAGTGCCACATTGTGGACATGGCAAGCCTGAGTACAGTGAGAATGGAGAACTCCTCCTGAAGTGAGAGTTCAACAGAAGAATGCTACAAAGAAGGCATGTTGAGGTGTCCTTAATGGCAGCATTTAAAATTAGATTATGCAAACCCCAAAGAATGGTGCAAAAAAAAGAAAAAAGAAAACCTCACAGTAATCCACATCTATTATCTTGTTTTGAGGTGCAAAGGAGGAGGGAAACAAATACATCTAATTTCCAATAATTAATCTTATAAAGAGAAAGTGAAACTAAGCCTTAAGTATTTGGTTTGTCTGTTTGTTTTTTAAGCCTTAAGTATTTGAAGTACTAAGTACTTGCCACTTGGCATGTCAAAATAACAGCAGTACGATTCTTCAATTTAATTCATAAAAAAATTAAAAATGACCATTTCCTAAAAAATACAGAAAGGAATACTAGCAAGAAAAACTTATTTAAAATGGGCTTGCATATAAAAGGAAATAAACAAAAAACATGGGACAGGGAGGAAATGATTCAAATATTAAAATTGCTTTTTTTCAAAGACATCACCAAGCAGTATCATAGAATGAGGAACTTAAAGGACTTAACCTTTCTGTTTGACCCATGACAGAATTAAATTATATCTTCTCCAACCTGATTCCTCCCATGAAATCTATTCTGTTTAGGATGAAGGTCAAGTACCGAGTGAGAATGATTTAGTGCTGCTCTTCAAATCCAATTCCATAATCATACTCTTGTCTCAAAATACCAGCTGGACATCAAAGAGGAAAAGAAAAAAGACACAAAAAATGCAGACACACTCTCAAGAACATTATAAAGCTGAAATATGACCATTTCAAATTCTATCATCCTCAAGTACAAATAGAATTTTCATTCATCAAATGCTAAGCAAACATGGAGCCTATTGCCAGCTCCACTGTTTTTCAGCACCTCACCTTTTCACACCAAAGCCCATTTCTATCTCCTCCTTCTCTAAAGAACTTGACTTCTCTTGAGAAACTACAGTGTGTACATTAAATTCTCTCCTTTGCCTTTTCTGCCTATGTATAATAGTCACTTGACTCCAAAAGAAGTAAAATTTGACAACCCATGATATTAATGAAAATACCTTGCAAACAGGTAGGAAAAAAATAGCACAGTGGACAGGCATAGTGGATGTCTTGTCTATAATACAAACCTAACAGCAGCTTAGAGTAGGAAAAGAAAATAAAGAAAATTTTTGTTGATTTTCTTTATCTATCTGATATGCAATGATGCATCATCAGGGCTTTTGAGGAGAAAGATGTCATTTAAGTAAATGTCCTAAAACAAAATTTGAGCTAAGCCAAAGGATGGTACACTAAAGGAATTTTCTCCTCCAGTTCTCTTTTCTAAAGCATTCAGAAGCATGCCACAGATCAAAATTGTTCTTCATGGATTAAGTACAGTCTTAAATAAATGTTCCTATACGGAGTAAATTAACTAACCATGTATTACTTAAGTGCCAACCATGTGCTCTGATTTTTGCCATGGCCTTTACAAACACATACACAAAAGGGGTTGTAAAGCTACAATCTGCACAGGCAACAAAAGTAAAAATAGACACATGAAATTACATCAAACTAAAAATTTTCTGCACAGCAAAGAAAACAATCAGAGTAAAGAAACAACCTAGGAAACAGAAGAAAATATTTGCAAGCCATGTGTCTGATAGGGGTTAATATCTAAAACATATAATGAACTCCAACAACTCCTTAGCAGGGAAACAAATAACTCAATTTAAAAATGGGCAAAGGACACAAATAGACATTTCTCAAAAAACAACATACAAATGGCCAGTAAGTATATGAAAAAATGCTCAGCATCACTAATCATTAGGCAAATGTAGATTAAAACCACTATAAGATATTACTCATATCTGTTAAAACAGCTATTAACAGAAAGATGAAAGATAATAAGTACTGGTGAGGGCGTAGAGAAAAGGGAACCCTTGTACACTATTGCTGAGAATGCAAATGAGTACAGCTATTATGGAAAACAGTAAGGAAGCGCCTCAAAAAATTAAAATAGACCTAACCATATGATCTAGTCATCCCCCTACTGGCCATATAGCCAAAGGAAATGGAATCAGTATGTCAAAGAGATACCTGCACTTCCCACGTTCATTCACTGCAACGTTATTCACAATAGCCAAGCATGGAATCAACCTAAGTGTCCATCAACAAACAAATGAATAAAGAAAGTGCGGTGTGAAAATACACAACGGAATACTACTCAGCCTTTAAAAAGAAGGAAATCCTGTCAATTGCAATGACGTGAATGAACCTAGAGGACATTACGTTAAGTGAAATAAGCCAGGCACAGAAAGACAAATACCCCATGATCTCACTTGTATGTGGAATCTAAAAATGTTGAACTCATAGAAGAGAGAGTAGAATGGTAGTTACCAAGAGCTGGGGGAGGGGTGAGTATTGAGAAGACTGTCAGGCAAAGGATACAAAATTTCAGTTAGATAGGAGGAATAAGTTCCAGATTTTTTGTATTAATACATCATGGTGATTACAGTTACTAACAGTATGCTGTTTATTTGGAAATTGCTAAAAGAATAGATTTTAAGTGTTCTCACCACAAAAAAATAAGTATGTTAAGTACTGCATTTGTTAATTAGCTCAACTTAGCCATTCTGCAATGTATGTGTATTTTAAAACATCATGTACATGATAAACACATATAACTTTTATTTTTAAATTTTAAAATAAATATGTAAATAAATATTAATTTTAAAAATCTACAATCCAATTGGGGTAATCAGATACTTTGGTGTCAAAAGCTAAGACAGGAAGAAACAACAAAATGTAAGTTATCAGGTGTGAGTTGTGTGATCAGGAGTTGGCCCAACAAGATGTATACACAGCAACATGAATGGATCTTAAAATATGGTCCTGGCTAAAAGACAACTTAAAAATATATGGAAGTGAACACAGTATCCAATAAAGGGCTGATAATGAGAATCTATAGAGAACTCAGGAAAATCAGCAAGAAAAAAAAATCAAACAACCCCATTAAAAAGTGGGCAAAGGACAGGAACAGAAACTTTTCAATAGAAGACAGGCTAATGGCTAACAAACAAGAAAAAATGCTCAACAATTCTAATCATCAGGGAAATAAAAGTCAAAACCACAATGAGATATCACTTCTCCAGCGAGAATGGCTTTTATCAAAAAGTGCCAAGACATGGCATGGATGCCAAGAGATAGGAAGGCTCATACACTGCTGGTGGGACTGCAAATTAGTGCAATCTCTGTGGAAAGTAATATGGAGATACCCCAAAAAGCTAAAAGTAGAACTACCATTTGATCCAGCAATCCCATTACTGGGCATCTACACAAAGGAAAAAAAAAAAAAAAGACATGTACACTAGAATGTTTATAGCAGCACAATTCACAATTGTACCCATCAATGCATGAGTGGAGTAATAAAATGTGGTATATGTATACCATGGAGTTCTACTAGCCATAACAAGCAATGGTGATCTAGCACCTCTTGTATTATTCTAGATAGAGCTGGAGCCCCTTCTACTAAGTGAAGTATCACAAAAATGAAAAAACAAGCACCACATGTACTCACCAGCAAATTGGTATTACCCAATCAACACTTATGTGCACATATAGTAATAACATTAATATAGTAACACATATAGTAATAACATATAGTAATAACATGTCAGGCAGATGAGAAAGGGGAGAAGGGGATGGGTATATTCACACCTAATGGGTGCGGTGCTCCCTCTCTGGGGGATGGACATGCTTAAAGCTCTGACTCAGGTGGGGCAAAGGCAATATATGTAACCTAAACATTTGTATCCCTGTAGGATGCTGAAATTAATTAATTAATTAAAATAAAAATATATGCAAATATATAACATCATATTTAATGTAAGTTAAACATTTGTAAACTATGCATTTTGCAAAATACATGTGAACAAAAAGATACACATTTAATACATTAAAGGGCTGCCTGTGGGGAAATGGAATGGGAATCAGGAATGGAAATAAAATGGAAAACATAAAATAAAAGAGGGTCTTGTTTTGACCAGTAATGAAAACAAAAAAAGAAAAGAAAAAGAAAAGAAATGGTCTGAGATGCCACCATGAGTTTGGCAAGTTGAGGTGAGCCTTAAGATAAAGTTAAAAGTCTGGCATCTCAAGGAAAGAAGAAACAGAAGATTTGGAGAGGAAAATCACATGAGCTGAGCCTGAACACAGAAAAGCCCAAGTCCTATTGGGGAGGCAAAGAAAGTATTCAGTTGGCTGGGTCTACTCTCTTGAAGATAGTTCAAAGTTGCTGAGGCCTAAGCTCCTGACTTTTTATAGATGATCTGTTATCTATAAAAAGTGACGTGTTACCCTCGTGAGACAGTCTGCCTATTAGCCTTCCTCTCCACTTTCACGGTGGCTGACAACTTTGCCTTCCTCTTCACCCACAATGGCAGACCCTGTTGACTGGCTAAAGCAATAGCCATTCCTAACCCCTACTTAGTTGTTGCCTCTCACAACAAAGGCTAATAAGCTAGTTGTTTATTTTCCTGGACTCCCTCAAAGGCAGAGACATTCACATGGCTCCATTCTGGCTGATGAGTCAAAAAAAGAAAAGTCCGCTGTGGGCTTCTGAGAAAACAGATAACAGAAATGAAGGAAGAAGAAATTTTGCTTCCTTCTTCTTGCCTTGACTGAGTACATGATATGTGGACCTCTTGAAGCCATCTTGTAATGAAGAGATGACAAGGAGAAATATGAAAAGCCTATACAGCAGCAAAGACAGAGTAAAATAAATGGAATGAGGTTATAATGATATCGCTAAAATCATTCAACCCTAACTCCAGAAATTTTGTTGTACCAGTAAATAAATAAAGATCCCTTCATGTTAAGGCACCAGTAGTTAACACCATTTTGTTACTTGCAGCCAACAGTATTCCTAACTGATTTACCTGCCCTCACCCTCATTAAGTTCCAAGTCTACAAGGCTGTTTCAAGAGATGCCATATTCTAATCACCATTAGATGATTAGCAGGTCAAGGATGAGGCCTTGACTCAAGTCCTTTCCTGGGATCTTACAACCTGCATCTGAGAAGAAATGTCAGCTCTGTCACATGGCTTAAGTCATATAAAATGTCACACTTAGGTGGTCAGCAGCTACGCTTTTTGCACTGAATAGAAAGCCTATCTACAATGAGAAAGTCAGGAGTCAACATGCACAGAGAAGCACAGATGAAACACAGAAAGAAAGTCCCAGTGAGGCTCAATTCCCTGGTGCCGGCTGTTCCTGAGCCATCTGCATTTGTGCTCTTTCTACAGTTTTGTGAGTTAACCATTCTTTGAAGCCCGCATAAATCCCCCCTTTTTGCCTAAACTAGTTTTGAGTTAGGTTTCCCCAATTTGTAACACAAAAATGCGATCTATAGGTAATATTTCTTTTTTATTTCAGCATATTATGGAGGTACAAATGTTTAGGTTACATATATTGCCTTTGCCTATAATATTTCATATTATTCTCTTATACAAAAACTTTCCTATGATTTTTCATTAAACACAAAGAGCTAACATAAATTTTCCAAAAAGACAAACTATAAGAAAAAAGTAGACTTTATCTTTTCTCCTAAATCAAACTGGGAAATGCTTTTATTATTCTGCATTCAAATCACAGCTCTACCTGCTGATAGTTTTGCAACCTTGGGTAAGTTATTTAATATCTCTGAGCCTCAGTTTACTTATCTTTTAAGTAGGAATGAAAACTATAGCTAACTCAGAGATTTGGAAATTAAAAGCTCAAATTTGAGTTTAAAAAGTCATTGAAGAAGTCAATAAAAAAACAGAACAATGTAAGGTAGTAAGCATTCAATAAATGTGAGTAAATATTCTTGGGCCTGCACCAACCTCTTAAAAATGAGATATCTGATTTATGAAAAATGGTAAGTGAATTCTCAGCTGTGGGTCCAACAAGGTAATTAATCTTAAAGTGTTGCATAATATTAACTATTAAAGTAAACCTATTATGTAGTTATAACTGCAACCAGTCTGGAGGCAAGAAGACCAAAGGTTCAGGAAACTTAAATAATATGTCCACTATGGCATAGCTAGAATTTGAACCCAAGGTTGTATGAATTACAAGACTCAACTTTTCCTACAATACCACACAGCCACAGGAATAAGAATCCATCCAATATTTTGATTCTGTGTATTGGAGCACAATCATTATAGTGAATTCTCATCGAACATAAGAGTTTGGATCTAAAATAAGATTTTAAAGGAAAATTAAGCATAAAAAAGTGATCTTTGAATAATCTTTTAACTCATCTTTAATTTCCATAACTTGAGTCTTTGAAAGCACAAAAGCCAAGAATTGATTCTTCAAGTTTTTATTTGTACTTTTTATTTTTAAAAAAGTTTTGAGGGAGGGAATAGATAGAGCCTCATGGCCAAAGGGATATACTTTGTAAGCCCTTATTTTTTTGAATTGGTGTAGTCGAATGTGTACAAGTAGAATACATATATGGTGCAACTCCATGGTGGCTACAGTCCAGGAGAGGACTGTCTCAAGGAACATGGTCACCCACTCTGGATATGATCATTTAACTTCCCTTTCCTCCTCAAGAAGGTGAAATAGCTGAATCAAGCTCAGGAACAGAAAAGAAGAAATGTTGTACACACATTTAAATACCTCTGTTTCCTCAAAAGAGTTAAATAATTATTTGCCTTCATATTCTATGGGCATACTGCTTTTGTACACCTTTCTGCTAGAATAAATTTGAAGACTCCAGATGAATATTGGAGATTGAACACATACGTCTACAATGACTCTGACTCAAAACTCCACCAACTGTGATAGCAGAGAAATTTTGTAAGGCAAAAAAAGGACAAAGAAGAGGAGGGAAAAAAAACGAACTTTGAAGGCTGGTGAACATGTGAAAATAGCAGACAAGAGGAAGTCAATCAGTAGTGGGGAACTCTCTTTCTAAGAGGATTTGTACCGTAGCCCCATGAAGGACCCAATTTTAGGGGCAATAGATACCTATGAAAGATGAGTGACTAAAAGTCTCTGTAAAAATCAATCTGATCCCCCAGAACCCCTCCATCACTCCACACAGGCCACCCTCTGTTGTCACCCGACCTGACAGCCAGAGTAGCAATGGCTCCAGGCCAGCCCTCACTACTGGGGCTCACATATGTTCTCAGGACACACTCAGACAGTCTTTGCCCCACCTAACTCCGGCCATAGCTTTCCATTTACTTGCATATTTAATTTCATCTTTAATTTACCTCACTCAGCAAGGGTTTCCAACACAGCAAACTCTCCTTAACTACCCCTGCACAAGCAGCTGGTTCTTGGTCATTCATTTTGGTCTTGCATTTCACTTTGGAATGTCATGTTTTGTTTCCCAGTGCCTTGGATGAAACAGAATTTAACACCCCATCACATTTACATAATAAAATATTAGAAAACTAAACACTGATTCTTACAAACATCATGATATAGCTCTAATGGGGGTGGGGGGTAGAATCTAGTTTAGTTTTGGTGAAGGGCTTGGTCTTTATCTTCCAAAGAATGTCAACAGATAATGTCTATAACTCAAAAACAAATCGAAAAATGACAGCATAACCATGTTTTCTTGAAAATATAAAGGAGAAAAAGCTCAAACAGATAGAAGTGGTTGACTTTGGGAAGCAGGAATTGAGCCCAGTAGAGGCAGAAAAAGGACTGCTGTTATTCATTGTGAACCTTGTAGAACTGTATAATTTTGAAATATGTAACCTTGAAAAAATAAAACTCAAACAAAAATAAAATATACATGTAGAAATCTGTTCCTTCTCTTAGTTGTCAACTCCACATACAGTTTTGTTTTCACATCCAAATCTCTCCAAAAATGTGCAATGACCACATGGCTAAGTCAAGTTAGGGTGACAGAATGATTAACGACAATGCACACTTTAAACAAGTCTGAGAAAATCCATATTTAAATACTATAAACTAGGAGATGACATATCAGTCTATGAAATCTTGCCCAAATGGGTTTTTTTTCTGCACACAGCGATCCTCTAATATATCTAAAATGATTCAATTGATTTTTACATGTGATTTACCTATAGCTTTAGAGCAATATATTCATTGAATACAGAAAAGTGGGGCTATATTCAACCTGCAATTTCCACACTATCACACTAAGGATGCCACAATTATGTGAGATTACTACCTTAAGAAAACTTGAAATAGGCACTGGTTATATTCCAATCAAAATATCCTCTTTTCAAAACTCTTTTAAATGAAGCGATCAATCCATTATCATTTCACTTTAAGCTTATGAGTTAAAATGAATACTTTGTGAATGATTTTCTCATGTTTAGAGTAGCTCTGAAATACAGATTCACAAGCATTATTAGAAGTGTGATCAACTCCACGGAGAATTGCTACAAATAAATGGTTTTAGTAAAGCTAACTGTTAAAACTTGACATTCACTGTCAGCATCAGGCTACCTGCTTTCCCTCCTATTTTCTCAGATAATGCTTTGTTTGATAACTTCCAAAGCCCTATATATTCTAGAGTTCTTCAACTTAAATTTACTTTTCATTAAATCACAGTGACTTTGGCTCCTGTTATAACATATCATAAGATTTCAACTTATATTTTTCCCCACTGCAAAGGAACACATGTCTAGGAGTTTATCACATGCATTTATAAGATTTTCCATATTTATAAATTTATAGAGATGTATAAAACTACTGAAAAGCTTAGGCATATTTTAATTGTGGACATCAAATTTCTGCTATGAATGTAGCCTAAACTGAACTACTGCACAGTGTCTAGCATGCACAGAAATATTACAGCAGAAAGCTCTCAAAATCTGGCATCTTAAAAATATTATTCTCTGCATACTTTTAAGAAGGTGAATCATGTAATATTTAATCCATTTAATCTAGTTTTCAGAAAATTATTTCAAGCCTTAGAAAGCGGTTGAGATAATTGGAGTGGCTAAAATTAAAATTTATTAGATAATGCCAACATACTTGGAATGATGTCACAGTCATTGCTCTCATACTTCTATTCAACTAAAATGTCACAGTTTCAAGTTATCTTCACATCAGTTCATTCTCAAAATTTAGAAATATTTTTAATAAAGAATTTTTGTTATATAACAAAAAACTGTTTAAGACTATACATTAAATTTATGTCTTTCTTTTCTTCTTAGAAAGCTTTACTGGAGTATACCATGCTATAAGTTTAGGCTTATAAAATCAATTAAAGCACTGATGAAAATGAATATAACAACAATGAATAATACATGAAAAACACTTAAATCAGGCAATGGTTCCATATTTCATCAAAAACTTTAAGGTATATTTTCCATAGATGATCTAATTTGAGCTAAAAGAAAGTAACAAAATTTGACATTAACTTCCATTCCTGAGAAAGCAGTGTAAAATAACCAGTCCTAGAACAAATGCTAACATGCCTCACCCAGTATTTCTCAACTTTGAGGTCTTGGTGGGAGAGTGGCATATAAGGGTATCAAGACAGGAAACCCGACTTACAATCAAGTCATCCCTCCTTACGTCAACATCCAAAGCACTCACTCCTCAGATAGGAAACACCAGGCACCATTATTGAAACTGTGTACAAACAGATGCAAGAAAAGTTGACTGTGTACAGACAACATGCACAGCCCCATCTAACTGAGCAAAAGAACGTCTCCATAACCTTCCTTTTCACATAGAAGGCCCACTCATCCCAAAGTAGAAGAACCCAGCAAAACCCAAAGGGCAAGGAAACACATTTATATAATCCCTCATATTGATAGACTGAAGATGAAAATGATGTAACAGAGATATATGTCAAAAAGGCATTTGGTAAAATCCAACATCCATTCCTAATTAAAACACTTTTTATAAAAATTAAAATAGCAAATGCTCTTATAAAATAATATCCTTAATGGTGAGAGAGTAGAGAAATCCCCATTAGAAGATTTAAAAAATCAAGGATGAATGCTAGAAGTTTTAATCAATTCAGAATAAGAACATTAAGTGGCAAACATCTTTTGAAGGTTGTTTGGCAACATGAATCAAAAAGCTTAAAAATATTAACAGCTTTTTATAAACCAACTCTATGTCTAGGACAAGCAATCAGGGATGTGCACAAATGTGTAGGTGACTGTCACAGTGAAAAGAGTGGAACAAATGTAAATGTTGAACAAAAGCAACTAGTAAAGAAATAAATATTTATGTCTGTATATATTTGCATGTATGTTATGGTTCAGCTATCTGTTAAAATATCATACAGTCATTTAAAATGTTACCCAAACTACATA